CCCTTACAAATTTGTCCATTTGTAGGGGTAGCTGATAACATCAGTAGCCTCTAGCTACAAATGGATTTGTAGGGCTGGCCCGTTTGAGAACCATTTGTAGGGGCGGCTGAATATAGAACCACCCCTATAAAAAAAGAAGAGTTGTTACAATTTTTTTTAGTAGTGCTTATCTTTATTGCCAAGATCTCAATGCTAGGAAGCATGACGTCCGGCTTGCGCCTTGTCCCCGCCAGCAATATAATAATATATATACGAGGTGATTGAAAATGTAAAAGAAAGATGCAAGGGAAATGTTGAATGTGACACGGGCACACATATTATGATGCGTGTTAATTAAGGCTCTCTTTGGTATAACTTATTCGTATTTGGCTTTACATTGCAGTAGATGAAGCCAAAACCAGTAAAGCTAGGGCTTCACCGGCTGGCTTCTAGTTGTTTTAGAAGAAGAGAGAAAATTAGCCCTTATTACAGACACTTTATTTTTTTTGATCGGGTACAATTTGGACACATACAACCCACACATTCCACACTCACACCACACGCACACACGCGTGCGCGTCTGTACACATGCAAAGAAGAGATTGGTAGACTCTCTAGCTTCCAGGTATGCAGGAAACACACAGTACCACCGAACGCGCACGCGTGCGTGTTGTTACAGACACGTAAAAGTGCGTTTGTGATGTAGCTTAACGCGCGTATGTGATGTGCTTTTTTTACATAGTGTCTATAAACGTACATAAACAGGGAAGTATCAGGTGAAGCTGAAGCTGTCAAGAACTATGACAAAGAGAGCCTATATAAAGACATGCATGGAAACAGAATATAATAGATAGATGATTAACAAGCAGCTGCTTCACAATATATACCAGGTGACTGAAAATGCATGTATAGGCTAGATATGCAATGGAAAATACTGAATCTGAAACGGGCACATATGATGATAGATGCAGCAGGTTAACTAAAGTCATGGACACACATCATAGATACAGGACAAGCAACTGCTTGCTTTACGATACATACAGTACCTTGATGACCTTGTCCCCGCTCTCGAGGACATGGAATTTGGGATCCAGGTAGCCAAGAATCCATAGGTTTGGGGCTCGTCTTATCAGTATCCTCGTCCATGGAGTGAGGAAGAACTGGTTGGTTCGCCACAGAATGACACGCTCAATGCGCGGCGCGTCCACGGTGAGCTTCAATGCTTGAACTTCCAGAGCAGCAAGCATTTGAGCCTAGGGCAGACGACATCGATGTACTGTGGCACCCTGCAACCTTCTATGAATGCGAGCATCTCGAGGATGGGGCAGCCAGCGAGGAAGTCTCCAATCTCAGCTTTTGGCACGAAGGCGTGGCACAGGATGAGCTGCTGCAGATAGGGAAAATGTACAGCGCATGGGTGCTCCGGCCTGCGGGCATGGTTAGGAGCAGCATTTGGAAGCGCAAAAGGCGCAGCTGCTTCAGGGATTCACACCGGAGGAGCTGGACTGAGAGGACAATCATGGCTGTCTGCCACTCACAATTGAGGACGATGAGCTCCTCCACACCATTGGCATCCATGATCCAGAGCCACGCCCTAAAGGAACTCACCAGGGACGAGGTGAGGCAGACCGAGCGGAAGAGGCCCGCATGACTCCGAAGGAGAGCCGTGACCTTCTCCCTGACAACGGTTCTTGATAGGTCCTCGATAGCTTCCATGTCGTCGTCATCCTCCTCCTCCTCGAGCTCATCCACTCCGGCGGACCAAAGCTGGGCATCGTCAAGGATGAGCGGGATAGAGGACCAGATCCAATGCCAACTGGAGGAAAGCACGATGGTGCCCCTCCGTCTTTGACTGGTAGCTTGGAGACGATTGTGCGCTGGATAAAATCCGGGAGCTGACTAATGTGGTCCTCACTGGATCCCGCGAGCAGGAAGACGATTGTGGCGGCGTCGGGCTGCGTAGCATTGATAGGTGGTGGTAGCGGGAGGAGTCTGATGCAAGGTCGTGCAGGAATCATGGTGCTGGCGGCTGGCGGCTAGAAATGGGGTGAGGAAGGTAGGAAATGGGGAATCGATCGAGCAGGACTGGTGACTGACTGACTAAGCATATATATAATCTGAAGACTAGGCTCTGACTCACTCTGACTGGCCTAGCCTCTACCTAACTAGGGTTTGGTGCTGCTGGGCTAGTGTCAGAACAAAATTTCATGTGGGCTAACCGCCCCGGGCCTAGCTACTACAAGAGTGTCCGTTTTGTTTTTTAACAATGTTTCCTGGGCTTTTCCAGGTACCACCTTTGGTGTGGTAATGCTTTGTCCCTCGAAACACAATCAAGGAGGGGCAACCCCCATCCCCTAGTATAGCTATGTCCTCAAGTGTCACAATACCTTCGCTCCATAGTAAGATGCAAGTATTTGTCTCAGGGACTAAAATTGAGCGATCTCAAGGAGTAAAGTCTTATCCAGGTTCAGTTTGCAGGTTGAATGTAACTATGCCATTACGGATCTCATGTCTCTTATTACACACCCTTCATGCTTTGGTAGAAGTTTCACCACCCACACCACATTAGACCTTATAGTGTGTGTCTGGGATAGGGATGCTCAACAATAGCTATAGATGGCTGATTCTGTTCATTGGAACTTCTAGCGTAGGGGATGAAGAAGTAACGTGTCCAATAGCTAGGAAATCTTGAACTCATGAATTCCTGAGATAATGTTGGCATATGGGTTAACTCAGCCAAGACCTCTGACATGGGCTCGTTGCTAATATGTGGTTTAAGCACTTTGAGGCTAAAGGGAGAAATGGGAATAGCACAAAAGAGGAAAAGCCAACATGGAGGGAGAATATCACAGAAGATGAAATGTGCAGAGGTTTTACTTAACTAAATTTTGTCTTGTATGGAAAAGCTATGTTAGTGTTTTAATTTTTTTTATTGTCTGGACTATTTTCTCTTGTTGAAAAAGTAGGAACCAATCTAGGTGTAGTGGCAAATCTATACTTATTTTAGGACATATGTACTAGAAAGTATTTTGTTTTTTAATGGTTGTGTCTTGAGCGTATGAACAGAAAATTGGGGGCATGATTGGGTTGCGGTATCCAAATTTGCGACCAATTGCTCCAATGCCTACTATGGATTCTATTGGTTGTGCGCAGTTTCATGTAGTTTCTAAATACACCTGGATCTAGATCTTCTGCAATGAAAAATGGTGTGCTTTGGTGATTTGAATCATATCTCTTACCTGAGTTCTTGCAACATGAATGGATATGGGCGGCATAGTTCCAACCACATCGTCTTAATTAAATCAGTGTTGTCATGCAACACAATGTTTTAATGCAATCAATGTTGCCATGCAACACAATGTGGATGATACACCACCCATAGGATATAGTAGTTCTTTAATTCATACAATGTCATCTACAAAGACCCAACAAAGCTCCAGATGCAATGCAACATTTGTACTTCTGTAGGGCATCCATTTGAAAACCTTTTGGCTCTTTGGGCTTACCACAACCAGTACTAGGATCAAGACTTTTTTGAGCATTGTCCCACCATGCAGCCCATGCAAAACGATAACCTCTTAGAGAGCACAACGACTTAGGCTGTAATGTACATATGCATTCCACAACCAGGAGACACAGGACATTTAACGGTGCACCCACCACAAATGCTTTTTTTTTTTGGTTTTGCAACTAATTACTAATGCGCTAGAGAGTAGAAAGGCCAATGTACAAGTTGGCAAGGGCAGCCAGTGTGAGAACAAGACCCTGGTCGTGCACCATCCAAGCAGCAACCTTAATACCTTGAGGCTGGACGACATCAAACTGTGCTGCTCTTAGCCTTGATCATGAGGCATGACAAGGAAAGCAGCATTCTCATGTCGCTTCCCAGAACGAACTGTTGGCATACAATCAAGGAAGTGCTTGACACATTTAGAGAACTTTTGTAGCGGCTGTGCTTTTTGTACCCAGTGTGATTGAGGACACACCAATGTCTCTCCACCTCTTTGACATCTGTGCCCAGTTACACTCACTGCCACTGAGGCCCTACATAGCGGCTGTTCAGACGATTGGGCCAAGCCGTGCGCCGAGGCCCAATCTGCTTCGCTGCTGGATCCTCAACAGTACTCGTGTTGCCTGAAAAAGTGGTGTGATCCTGCGCTGTGACAAGATAAGCTGGATCAAGGTCATAGAAGACACGAAGCTTGCCACCTTTTTGTTTCATCACATGGAAAGAAGCAGGTATGTGGTGCGAAAATCTCAGGTTCTCTCTAGTAGGTATCTCCAGGACTCCCTTTTGCTTGTCTGGTTTGAAAACAGCTGTGCAACCATTGACTTTAGCCAGGAAAGAAATTTTTGTGCTAGCATAATTGCGCTCGATGATCTCACCAACAGCAACACAACAATCAGTGCTGGACGGACTCCACTAAGGTGCCCAGTCCATATAGATGGCCCAAGTGTCACCTACTTGTGGAAAAATCTCACATTGACGCGCGCTCTTTGCTGCTTCTCTTCTTGAATTGAGACATGTAAGTGTCAAGATTCATGGAAGGGAATGTTGCGTCCAGGTCAGAGGGAAGACAACTAGGGTTAAGTAGCATAAATCCTTCTGGGACAATATGATTTTTCTCCAATGTAGGGCCACTGATTTTTTTTAGGATGTTTTCATGTCCAGATAACCTGTAATGTAGTATCCGGTGAGAAAATCAAAATATCTAGCTTCAAGGTATATCAAATGAGGATTTATATCAAATGAGGATGGAGTAAGCCAGGAAAGCCCTTAATCCTGTAGAGTGGGATAGCACTGGCGCCACCATTGTCCGACACGTCTGACAGTACTTCCACAACTTCATACTCATAGGACCTGTTCACAGAATTATCTCCATCTGAGCTCCCTTGCTTACTCCATCCCTTATAAAGAGCCCATACCTCACCCCCTTTAGGATATATTTCATACACCATAATTTTATTTTTTTGCAGAACCTCTCCTACCAGAAACTTTTTTCACATAGAATTTCTTCCACTCAACAGTACGAGAATACAAGGAACTGTATTCTAATATACTGACTTTTTCTCCTAAGCTTTCCACAAGTAACTAGCAAACTTTTGTTGTTCCATTCTTTCTCTTCTTCAGACAGTGGATAGAACTTCATCCAATATAAACACTTCGAATGACCAACACATTTTATCATAAAGGATCTTGACATACGATCAATGTTATCCCAAAGGGCCCAGATCTGATCAACACCACCATCATTATATGTAATAATATTGATATCTCTGATCTTGATACCAGGATCAGAGCAGCAGGACGACTTCTCCAGAACAACAGAGTCAATGGATTCTTTCACAATATTGTCCTCATCACTCGTATGCATACCTTTTGTCTTGTCTTGGACGTTTATTTTGCTAGACACATGATTTTGAGACGACTGCTTGTCAGGACTAGTGATGTCGCCCTCTAATATTTGATTACAGTTCATGCTGATAGTACATGAATAATCATTCTCCCTTTCCCTCTTTTTGCCATCGGAGTTATTCTGGCTAATTTTGCCATCAACATGTTGCTTTCTCCAGTCGGACCCACCAAGACTGTAGGATCCTGACCCTGGCATAGTGGATGCTTGCTTATTTTGGTCAACAGCATTTGAGTCAGCAGTATCTGCTATTGATCTTCCAACAATGTTCTTGTCCGCCTCTGGTATTCTAGTTTTCCCCTTTACCATCTCTGGCTTGTTAGATTTCTTCACACCACCTGCGCTCCTATGTCCTTCTTTGTCTACACAGGAGTACTTGACAAGGTGACCTTGTTGACTGGGAATGTTGTCATGTTGTTGCTCTTGGAACATGCTTTCAGGAACTTGATAATCACTAATCATGCTTGATGAAGTGGGCATGGGCTCCTTCGGTTCCTCTAAGCGGTTTGTAATGACTATCTTGTTGCATGTCTGACAGACGACCCTGGAGTTCAGGGCTTTGTTGATGTACTGGTACCTAAATTTACAATGTGGGCATCTGGTCCAAAATGTTAGACTAGATGCTCCCTTTATTTGCGTCAGTTTTGTTTCAAGGTTTCTTCTTATTAGCTTCCTTTGACACATTTTGTGATCCATTCTTCCTTTTCTAGTCATGTTCAGTTCGCTTTGCTGGGCACATCTTCAAATCTTGCACCTCAGGTGTGTTAACGCTTTGTGCCTTGAAAAACAGCCAAGGAGGGGCAACCCGCTCCCAGGATAGTCATGTCCTTGAGTGTCACAATACCTTCGCTCCTTGTAAGATGAAACTATTTGTCTCGGGGACCAGAATTCAGCGATGCCAAGGAGTTGTCTCATCCAACTTCAATTTGCATGTTGTTGTAACTATGCCATCAAGAATATCATTCTCTCACCACAGAACTTCATGCTTTGGAAAAGTTTCACCACACACACCATGTGTGAGACAAATCACTTCTTTGCAAAGATGACCTTCTGGTGTGTGTGTGTCTAGGATAGAAATGCTCAATAATAGCAGCAGATGGCTGATTTGGTTGATTGTAACTTCTAGCGCGAGGATGAAGAAATAACCTGCCCAATAGGAAATCGTGGACTCGTCAACTACCGAGATGATAGTGACGGATGGGTTACCTCGATACATCTGGCATGTCTTGTTGCTGAGATGTGGTTTAAGCATTTTGAGCTAACGGGAGAAATGGTAATAGCGCAAAATGGGAAGAGCCAATGTGGAGGAAAATTGACAGATGATAAAATGCGTAGATATTCTATTTGGTACATTTTTATGGTGCATTTAATTAAATTCTGTCTTGTATGTAAAATGTAAGTCACTAATTCAGGCATCACCTTTGTGCTGTGCTGGCATAGTGCACGATGCCTTAGGCTGTAACACACATAAGTACTCCAGACCTAGAGATGTAGGACATTCAACAGTGTACCCACTAGAATGTATTATTAGTTTTACTGCTAAATATTTATAATGCACTTCAGAGTTGAAAGCCCCCTCCCCCCTGTAAAATTTAGCTAGGGTGATGCCTCATCTAGTGGGTACTCTCAGCCTCGTCATGCACCATCTAGGCGGCAACCACAAAAACATCTGGATGGAACACATCAAACAATGGTGCTCTCAGCCCTGGTCGTGTGGCATGGTCAGGAAAGCGGCATGCTCAACTCACTCCTCAGAGACATTTGTTGGCATACAGTCAATGAAGTTCTCAACACATCTAAAGAACTTGTTTTGTACATACTATGTTTGAGGATACACCGGTGTCTCTCTATACCTCTTTACATTTTCTGATCTTGCACCTTAGAGTTAGTGATGCTTTGGCCCTCTGAAAACAACCTATGTGGGGCAACAAACCCCAGAATAGCTATGTCGTTATGTGTCACAAACCTTTGCTCCATGGTAACGTGAAATTATTTGTCTATCTAACTTCAAAATTAAGGTTGATTATAATTATACCATCAAGGATCTCAATCTATATTGCCATACAACTTCACGTGCTTTAGTTGAAGTTTCACCACGCACACCATTGGAGCCAAACCACTTCTTAGCAAATATGACTTTCTGGTGTGTGTGTGTCCGAGATAGGGATGCTCAACAACAGCTGCAGAAGTAACTTGTCCAATAGGAAAACTTTGACTCATCAATTCCTTAGATGATGGTGGCAGATCGATAACCTAAAACAAGACCTCCTGGACGTATGGCATCGCTTGTTGCCGATTTGTTGTTTGAACACATTTTGAGGCTAATGGCAGAATTGGAATAGCATAGACGAGACTAACATCGGACACCATTGGAGCCAAACCACTTGTTAGCAAATATGACTTTCTGGTGTGTGTGTCCGAGATAGGGATGCTCAATAACAGATGCAGAAGTAACTTGTCCAATAGGAAAACTTTGACTCATTAATGCTTTAGATGATGGTGGCAGATCAATAACTTAAAACAAGACCTCCTTGGACATCTGGCATGCTTGTTGCCGATTTGTTGTTTAAACACATTTTGAGGCTAACCGGAGAAATGGGAATAGCATAGACGAGTTTCAACATGTAGGGGAAAATGACAGATAAGAAAAATGTCCAGTTGTCCTATTTGTTAATTTTAATGGTGCACTTACTTATGTTTTGTCTTGTATGGAAAAGGTAAGTTAGTGTTTTAAATTTGTTATTATTTGGAACATTTTCGAATTCCAAAAAATTAAAGTAAAAATCTTGTCTACGTACGTAATAGTAAAATTTGTACTTATTTTAGGACTGCGGTACAAGTAAAATGTTTTTTTGTTTTTTAATGCTTGAGTCTTGAGTGTATAACGGCAGACCAAGAACAGAATTGGGGGCATGTGTAGATTACTGGGGTGAACTGTTATGCCCCATTTGTGTAACACCCTTAGTGTTAAGCATCACTAAAACTTAGTCGTGTCATCATCATGCATCATCCATAGTAGCTCACCATGCTTTGCATTTACTAAAATCAATATTTATTTACTATTTACTAGTAGCTCACCATGCTTTGCATCTTCTACCTTCTCTGGTATTAGGAGTACTCCTGAAGCTACAGTCCAAGTCTGTTCCTATAATGCCCTTACTTGCCTTAGACACAGATACTCAGAGCTTAACAACTCACACACTTTTGCCTACTTCCCTTACCATGTTCAACCAGGTGTGAATGAAGTCCTATACCCACATCCTTTGTATGAGGATGACACCCGGAGTTGCAGAATGTCCGAGCTCACTCGATCTCTAGATGTCATGTACCGATGCTGTGCCTCGGAGTTAAACATATCTCATAGGCGTTTGGGGGAGCTGACAACAGAGCTAGAAAACCTACGTTCTCGCCACTCATATCCTTCCATAGAGACTGGAGCACCACTTGCTTTTCTCACAGCAGACCTTTTACTAGAAATCCACCTACACCTAGTCATTAGAGGGGAGCGCCATGAAATCCATCCTCAGCATAATCGCCATACACCTCAAAGTGAGCTGAGACAGGCTATGGGAGAGCCAGGGAACCTTACCCATCCTAAGGCACCAGGAGATACCGGTCATCCTATCTTCTATAATCCTTTTGTTTTTCCCGTCGTCGTTTTGCACATTTTCCCGTATCACCATGAGGGTGGAGGATACCCCTAAAAGAGTTATGTAAAAGTGGGATAGCATGTGTAATATCACCCTATGTTGTAAAAACTTAAGTGTGTTGCTGCTTGTTACTGCTTTATGTAAAAAGGTTTGTAATAAAGTTATGTAAGCAGGTTGGTAGTAATCGTAGACGTTCATACATCATGTCATTACAACTTTTAAATTACCTTCCCATTTACTAGTAGTTTGGGGTTCAGTAATTTGTCAGTCCTTTTTCTTGCTATCTATCTTTTCATGTGTAACTTTACCTGTTTGTGGAATCCGGTAACTAAAGGATCATAACTCCCCTATAGTATGAGGACTCGTTCTGGAGCCACTAATACACCCAGTTCTTCCCGTGGTCGTCAACCCACACCACCACCTAATCCACCACCAGCACCCACTCTTGCTGATGCTGTGCCTAGCTTGATAAACATCAATGCCAACAATGCTCGCATCCTTCAAGCGATAGCCTAGGACCGTGCGCCTGCTCCATAGGGTTGCCAAGATCCACCCGCAAATAATACATATGCCAACTTTCTCAAAACCCATCCTCCAGTTTCCTTAAAGCTGACGAACCGCTAGAGGTAGATGATTGGATCCGTACCATAGAACAGAAGCTTGGTCTGATCCTCTGTAATGATGTCTAGAAAACCCTATATGCTGCACATCAACTCCAGGGCCCTACTACCGCCTGGTGGGCTAACTTTCGTGCAACCCACCCCGCGGGGCATCAAGTTCCATGGGCTACCTTTCACACTACTTTTCAAGCTCATCATATTCCTGCGGGTGTGATGGAAATGAAGTTGGAGCAATTTATCAAATTGCAGCAAGGGAATATGAGAGTGATGGAGTATTTGGCCCAGTTTAATCACCTATCCCAGTATGCTCTAGAGCATGTTAGTACAGATGGTTAGAAGAAGCAATGGTTTATTTGTGGTCTCAACACTAATCTTCAGACAATGCTGACTGGTTTTACCAATGCTGGCTATCATGAGGCAGTCAATATTGCTATTTCTTTTGACAAAAAGAATCATCTGCACAAGGAGGTAAAGAAAAGGAAGCATGTGCACGTGGGATTCTCGGGTGGCAATAATCAGCACCAGAGGATTGTGTATCAACATGGCCATTGTCCTCCCTATCGTCCACCGTAGTAACATGGCCAGCAACAGTCATCTGTCCAACCCGCTGTAGTTCCTTCCTATCCATGGCAGCCGAATATCACTGGTGTTCGACCCAACAATCCACCATATAATACTAATCTCCCATGTTAGAACTGTGGAAAGGTTGGGCACTTTTCTCAAGAATGCCGTCTTCCCAAGCAGAACAATGGTCCCAGGCCACCAATGAATCAGCAGTACAACAATCCTCCACAGGGTAATCAGCAGAATGCTCAGAAGAAAGGACCCGGTCCAATAACGGTTTGAGTTCATTACATTCAGGGAGAGGCTATTCTGGAAGGTGAACCTGTCATGATGGGTATGTTTTCTATTGCCATACCTTGCAGTTAATTTCTTTGAATCAAGTTCATGGCATGATATCACCAATAAAGCATAGAGTATGGATTGTCAACTATCCTTGGCAACCACGGAGAGTGTTATGGATTCCTTTGCCCTATCTAGGTTACCAACTCCTCTACAGTGTAACCTTTCTAACAGAAAGTGATATAAATAGTGTGTCTTTTCCTTGTTGTTTTATGAAACATCTTGCTAATAGATGTGTTTGACACATTTCCTTTTCCATTAATTAACCCCAGGCTTTTGGTGTTGCGTAATCTCGGGGTGAGATTTC